TTGGGGGTGTTAAGGTGAGGGTAGGTAGAGGTGGATGGGGTGGGAGTGGGTGTTTATATTTTAGAAAAAAATTGGAATTAGAAAAATGTGGAAAACACAGATTATTGGTTTTCCAAAAATTTGCAACTTCTTTGTAATTTTAGAAAACGGAAAATTTTCATTTTTCGTCAAAAATTTAGAAAAATAGACGAACTAAACGCGTTTTCAAAATTCTCATTTTTCTTGGAAAAGTTTTCCGGAAAACGGCCCATTTTTCTGCAACTAAACGCACCCTTGCCTTCCCGTTTCTGCATCATCGGATAAGGCAACCGGTTGGGTTATGCTCATAATTGAGTAATCAAAAAGGTAAAATTTGCAATCGCCTTCCATGTTTGACATTACCTTTAGGGACTCCCTTTCGATTCCTTTCTTCCCCAGGAGATTCTTCATTGTTGAACATAGTCTCCAAGGTGACGAAGATTGAGCGTTGGACTGTGGCTCTCGTTCCAATTTCAAAAGGCGTTTCCTGATCATTAAAGACGGGTGTCAGGCTACTGAGGGGCAATATGGTCTATCCATTTTATGTCAAAAGAGTTTTGATATTTAAGGACAATTTGCTCAATTTGCTTTCTTTTATAAATTATAATATCTTAAAAATATAAAAATTGATTAGAAAACATTTAAAAAATAAAATTTGACATATAAAATATTTAAAAAGCTAATAAAATATATATAACATTTAAATTTTAGATCAGACAAAAAATTTTGAATCATAATAAAAGTATATATGAAGTTACCCTTATATTTTAATGACAAATTTGCAAAAATGGTCCCTGTGGTTTGTCAATTTATATGGGTAAGGTCCAAAAAAAAGTTTATTAGCAAAAAAGGTCCCTATTTGATGGTTTTGTTGCGGTTTTGGTCCCAACCTCGTTAAGTTTAACAGCATGGCTGTTAACTTTTGGCAAATGATAGATTTACCCCTGGGACCATTTCTGCAGTTTTATCTTTTTACCAAACTACAAGGACCAATTATGCAATTTTTCTTTTTCATTTCATTGATTTATTATATATTAATTATTTTAATTACTTTTTTCTTTTTAACTTTTTTCTTATTGTATTATTTTTTTTATTGGTTTATTATATATTAATAAATATTATTTTTAATATATTATATTTATATATTAATAAATATTACTTTTTTATTATTAATTTTTTTAATTATTTTTTTTTGAATTTCTTTTATTGCATTAATTATTTTTTATTGGATTATTATATATTAATAAATATTATTTTTAACATATAGTATTTATCTATTAGTAAGTGTTACTTTTTTGGATTATTAAATTCATTTAATTAATTTTTTTAATTTTTTTATTTCGTTAATTCTTTTGATTGGATTATTATATATTAATAAATATTATTTTTAATATATTATATTTATATATTAATAAATATTACTTTTATTATTATTTTTTTAATTTCTTCTTTACTGTATTAATTATTTTTTATTGGATTATTATATATTAACAAATATTATTTTTAGCATATAATATTTATCTATTAGTAAGTGTTAATTTATTGGATTATTAATTTCATTTAATTATTTTTTAAATTTTTTTATTGCATTAGTTCTTTTTATTGGATTATTAATTTAAATTTATTATTTTTATTTATAATAAATAATATTTATTTAATTGTTTTTATTTTGTTTTAATTTCTTTCTTTATTGTTTTAAATAAAAATATCAAACACTCCGGGTCAGCTCCTCCATTCGTTGCATTTTACCATCTTGCGTCGTCGTATCATCTCGCTGGAAATCATCGATCATCAACTACAGTCGGTCATTCTCGACGAAAACTACACCAGTTGACTACCCATACAATGTGAAATAAACCCCAGAAAACATACTTCCTCCAGCCGACCATTCATTACAGATACCACCATCGATGACGATATTGTTAGATCGAGGGTTTTCAAACCACCATATCCACTACAGGTGGTGAAAAAGTTGTAGAACTCGTTATTCGGTACTCGTTTGGCCGACCTCCTAGTAATGAATACTCAGATTTGGTAATTCATATAGAAATATTTTTAGGGAAATTATATATGTCAAAATCATACGTTAAAATCATAAGTTTATCGAAATATATAACAAATTTTGATATATGTGAATACAAAAAAACTAAAATACACACGATAATCTCACTTCGTAAATAATTACTCAACTTATATATTTATATATATAGTAACAGGGTTGGAGACGACCCGATAGTGGTTTGTTGTGACTGAGTGGTGGTGGTGGTGTTGTCCAAAATATGTTATCTTCCAAATATTTAAAATAAATTAGAGAATGTGGGGTGGGTGAGATTTTTTGGTATTTTTATTTGAAACAATAAAGAAAGAAATTTAAAAAACAAATAAATAAATAAAAACAATTAAAAAATATTATTTATTATAAATAAAAATAATAAATTTAAACTAATAATCCAATAAAAAGAACTAATGCAATAAAAAAATTAAAAAAATTAATGAATAAATTTAATAATCCAATAAAGTAACACTTACTAATAGATAAATATTATATGCTAAAAATAATATTTGTTAATATATAATAATCCAATAAAAAAATTAATGCAATAAAAAGAAATTAAAAAATTAATTAAAAAAATTAATAATAAAAAAAGTAATATTTATTAATATATAAATGAATTATATTAAAAATAATATTTTTTAATATATAACAATTCAATCAAAAGAATTAACGAAATAAAAAAATTAAAAAAACTAATTAAATGAATTTAATAATCCAATAAAGTAACACTTACTAAGATAAATATTATATGTTAAAAATAATATTTATTAATATATAATAATCCAACAAAAAAGAATTAATGCATTAAAGAAGAAATTCAAAAAAAATTAATTAAAAAAAATTAATAATAAAAAAGTAATATTTATTAATATATAAATATAATATATTAAAAATAGTATTTATTAATATATAATAATCCAATAAAAAATAATACAATAATAAAAAAGTTAAAAGGAAAAAAATAATTCAATTATTTAATAATTAAATAAAATAAAAAAGAAAAATTGCATAATTGGTCCTTGTAGTTTGGTAAAAAGATAAAACTGCAGAAATAGTCCCATGGGTAAATCCGTCATTTGCCAAAAGTTAACAACCATGCTGTTAAACTTAACGAGGTAGGGACCAAAACTACAACAAAACCATCAATTAGGGATCTTTTTTGCCAATAAGCTTTTTTTTGGACCTTATCCACAGAAATTGACAAACCACAGGGACCATTTTTGCAATTTTATCTATTTTAAACCTAAATCACGTTATAGAGTAAACTCTAAGGATATTAAATTTATATATATATATATATATATATATATATATATATATATATATATATATATATATATATATATATATATATATGTTTTTGATAGAATTTCACTAAATTTGACGATCAATATTACTCCAAAGGAAAAATAAAAATCGTTAGACAATCACTTCCTACCATTTTCAGTTTTGAGTTGACTTCAACTGCACTTTTCCTTCTTCTTTCGCCTACCTCTTCTTCCAAATCAACCCACAGATCTCGTACAATCAGAAGTAAAAAGAACTCAAAGATCCAGTCAATCATTAAACTCGATCTTCCAACAGATACTTCGCAGTGGTTCCAGGTTAGCTTTCAGGTGACTGAATCGATACCCACTGAACTCTAGTCTTTTGCCCCCAAATTTATTACTTATTTTGAGTTAATTTTGCGATCTCTTCAATCCCCAGTCCTATGTCCTGTTCTTGATTAAGAATCCGCAAACGGGTATCAAAAAAATCTTGAAAAACGTTGACTTGTTCAAATTCCTTCCATGAAGAGTGTTTTCATGTTAGGGTTTATCTTGATTCTCTGCATTAGGTTAGTGAACGCAGCGATTGGTATTGATCCTAATGGGTTTGGGGATCTAAGATCTACAAAAGAACCCCCTATGACCTTCAAATACGATAGAATAGACGAAGTAGCTTGGAGATGTTAAAAAACAAACATTCTTCTTTTTTCAGACCGCAGACGTTTGGTCCACCTCTTCTGCTGCAGAGGTCTATAGAAGTGGTCCGCAGACTGCAAACATTTTGCCACAGAAAAAACAAACAGCACCTTAGTCTTCAAGACGTTCGATGTGAAGAATCGCCTTCAAAGGGTCAAAAGAGTAAATTTACGAAGGTTGAAGCGGTTATTCGGGTTGTTTCTCCATTTGAGGATCATTACAATGCGGGTCAGCGAACCGGGTTGAATAATATGACACTTTCGGCTGAAGGGATGTGGGAATCATCAAGCGGGCAGCTTTGTATGATTGGTTGCCTTGGAATTGTCGATAAAGATGGAATCGGAATCGGGTGCGATTCCCATATCTGTTTATACATTCCGCTCTTGTTTTCCATTAAACAAAGAAGCATAATTCTCGGGACAATTTCTAGTTTAAAAGATGGGAATTCATCTTTTTTTCCGTTAACGTTTGAGAAACTTGTACGCCCTTCTGAATTATACGATCAGTACACGGAATCTCATCCGTATTATATGTATTCCAAGATCGATTTAGCAGGAACAATTCTCGAAAAACACGAGCCTTTCAGCTTCTAAACCGTGATTAAAAAGTCATTTTTAACGTTCTCGAAAGTCGAAGATGCCGATTTCTATCTCGTTGGTTTGTCACTTTTATCCGAAGATCTTACACGTCACCACCCTGCGGTCCCTGATTCCGGACCTAATCGTTTTTCAAGAACCGATGTGCAATTTGAGACTCTCTCACTTGGCCCGTTATTCGGTCATTACTAGTCTCTACAAAACGATTCAATTACAGAAGAAGACACACTGTATCACACTAAACCGACATACACCGAACGACAGCTCCTATTGAATGTATCGGGTCAACTTTCGCTCTTCGAAGGGCAATATGGGAATGTTTCGGATCTTTTGGTCGAAGGGTTGTATTATCCGGTTGTTGGGAAAATGTATTTAGTTGGGTGTCGGGACGTACGGGCCTCATGGAATGTTTTATACGAGAGTATGGATCTTGAAAACGGGTTGGATTGTTTGATTGAAGTTGTGATATCGTACCCGCCTACTGCGACCCGTTGGATGGTTAATCGAACGGCTAGGATTTCAATTTCGAGTCAACGAAACGAGTTTGACCCATTGTTTTTCAAACCGGTCAACCTTCAAACAGTTCCGATTATGTATCGGGCTCAACGGGAAGATATTCTTTCTAGAAGAGGTGTAGAGGGAATTTTACAACTTCTTACACTTTCGGTTGCAATCGGTTTTATTTTAACCGGATTGTTTTACATCAAAGAGAATGCGAATGCGATCCCGTTTGTTTCACTCGTGATGTTATCGGTCCAAGCGGTTGGATACGGGATTCCCTTAGTTATGGGGGCCGAAGCGCTTCTAGAAAAAACGGAATCTTACGAAAAGTCTTCGGTTCTTGAAAAAAGTCAAATGGTTCGGGTCATCGATTACACGGTCAAGATTCTTGTACTGGTTTCATTCTCGCTAACATTGCGGCTTTACCAGAAAGTTTGGAGGGCCCGAATCCAGTTACAGACGCGGGCCCCAAATGAACCGACCCGTGTGCCGTCTGATCGATGGGTTCTTATAGTTACCGGGCTGGTTCATGTGCTCGGGTTTGTATGTGTGCTTGTGGTTCATAACCTACAACAATGGCTTGCTGAATTTGAGGAGTATGTGGGTTTGGTTCAAGATTTCTTTTTGCTTCCACAAGTTATTGGTAACTTAATTTGGCAAATTAATTGCAAACCGTTACGAAAATCGTATTTTATCGGGTTAACTGTGATTCGACTTCTTCCTCATGTTTATGATTACATTCGGACCCCGATCCCGAACCCGTATTTTTCTGAGGATTATGAGTTTGTGAATCCGCATCTTGATTTTTATTCAAAGTTCGGGGATATTAGGATTCCTGTCATTGCAATTCTTCTTGCGGTTATAGTACATGTTCAACAGTAGTTTAGTTATGAGAGGCTTGTGGAGGTTCTTGATTTTGGAAAGTTTAGGGTTTTGCCAAGGCGGACGGTGGCGTACGAGCAGTTGCCGCCGGTGGTGGCGGAGGCTGAGATGACTTCCGGTGGCAATGGAGATGTGGGAACGAGGAAGGAGGTTGAGGTGGAATGAACAGGATGATGTGTAGGTGTGGTTTCATGTTTTTTTTGGGTCATGTTGTATTGTAGATGTTGTGAGGTTTTTGTAAACTTGCCGATTTTTATATGTAGTTTTATTGCTATGTGAATTTGAAACGCATTTAACGATTTTGTATGAAATGAAGCGTGGGAAAGAGTACGGCAAAAGCAATTAGTAAAAACCTAAAATATCAAAAAACTAAAAGTTCAAAAAAACTATTTGATAAAAGCTATGTGAAGTATCTTTGTAGATAAGAAAATAAAAGTTTATCTAAAAGTAAAAGTTAATAGTTAATAGTTTCCTACTATAAAACAAAACTTTATCTTTTTCTTTTTTTCTTAAAAAGTATTTGTTTTTTTATCATAAAAGTCTAAGGTAGTGTTTATTTTTTGTCTGCAGATCTGCGTGGCCTCTTCTGTTTGCGCCGCGCAGACCACGCGTAGACATTAGTCTTCGCAGACTGTTTGTTTTTTTGAAGACTACAGACCTAAAAATGTCTGCGCGCCTTCTTCTTGGCGCAGATGTGGGCCAAAGTCTTCTAACATCTTCAGACATCTTCTAGCCTAAAAAAACATATATATATATCTTCTTTTTTAAGTTTTTTTTTAATTTATATTTTTTCCAACTTTATTAATGATAAACAATTTGAAAAAAAAATTACAAAACATAAAAAAAACGTTCAACGATACAAACATGATATTTTTGACAAATTTATAAATAAAGATTTATTACAATATAATAGTCGTTGAAGTTGTTTATATAAATATGGAAAAAAATCATAATATATTCTTATATTTTTTGGCCAAATTTTGTAAAACATTATTTAATACAGTATCGTCAATTTCTCGAGAAAATATTTATGGTACGTTTTTAATGGATATAATTGAAAAAATCGAAGTTTATTTCCATCTATTTATGTATCAAATTCTTCGATCACTAATTGTAATGTTTAGTTATAACTTTGCAACCAAAGTTGTTGGTTTTTATCAAATATATACGTTAATTCATACCATTTTTATTTTTATTTTTTATACAATAATGCATAAAAGTTGATCGAGATTCGTTAATTATTTATAACAAAGTCATAAAAATATTAAAAAATCACTTTGAAGTTTAAAAAAATCAGTTTATTTAGATTTCAGTTTATTTTAGTAGCCCGCAGATGTTAAAAAATAAACAGTCTTCTTTTTTCAGACTGCAGGCGTTTGGTCCGCCTCTTCTACTGCAGAGGTCTACAGATGTGGTCCGCAGACTGCAGACATTTTGCCTCAGAAAAAACAAACAACACCTAATACTCGTCCTCTTTAGCATTGAGTTTTAATCGTGCTGATTAATTATTTTAACTTTCAAATTTATCATGTTTTAGCCACTATAACATGCTCAACATATTATAGGGGTGTGTATGGGGCGTTTTGGTTCGGTTATTGGTCAAAACCGAACCATAACCATCATGATTGGTTAATTCATTTTGGTAGTCATTGGGTACATTGGTTAATATTGGTTATGGTTAATAGTTAAAATTGGTTAACCATAATGTTCAAAATAATATAAATGGCGAAAGTATATTGGCATAAGAATGAAAAGAGAATACAAAAAATTCTTCAACGCCAATGTTTGTGACCTAACTTATAGTAATAGAATAAAATGTGTACATTTGATACTTAGAGTGAGATAACACATAATCACATTCAAAATAAAAAATATTCAATAAAAATATAAAACATTAAAATAATTAACATTAATAATTTCATATATTGATAATTGATATTAACATTAAAATAAAGCCAAAAATTCATACACGTTCGATGCGATTAAAAAAAAACTATAAAATAAAATAGTCAAACATTCATATTATGTGTTATCTGGATTAAAAAAAAAGCCAATAACTCATATATATTCAATGTGATTAAGTCAAAAACAGTAAATAAAAAAACCAAAAAATTCAAAAAAAATACATTCTTAATATATCACAAAGTCAAGAAGAACTAAAAACTAAAGTTACCTAGAAGTCTTGATTATAAAGTCAAAAAATCCTTCGAATAGTACTATAAAGTCAAAACAATATTTGATTAGGATTAACGGTGTGAGAAGTCTCCGATTAGGATTATGAAGATTAAACTAATTGTCAATAATGTTTACAAATTGTAGAATTATCCTATTAGGAATTACAACAATAATTAATAATCTAACTCAATGCATGATTGAAAGATTATGTGTGTCTGTGTGATCAACCTTTGATGGTTTCATTACACGTTTGTCTCCTGATAAGTGAGGATTAATGAATTATATTTTAAAATTTTAATGAGTCTTAAATAAGTTTGACTACATTATTTTATATATAAACTATAATTTTTATATTTTAAAATATAAAGTTAGTGGTTCGGTTAACCTGTAAAACCATAACCGAACCGTTAGTTATCGGTTAACAAAAAGTAGAAACCGAACCAATGGTTTTTAAAATGGTTCGGTTATATCGGTTAATTTGGTTTTGGTTCGGTTTTTCGGTTATTATGCTCACCCCTAACATATTACCATCTTACCATTTACATCCATACATGTTACGTACCATTTACATGGAATTTAAAAATACTTTTCTCTAAAATTATTTTTATTTGACAAATTATGAAACTAAAAGACAAAAAATATAATTTATTCTTTTCCTATAGCATTGTATATACTATTAATTCTTAAAAAGTTGAGGAACAGTAACTTTTTTTCTCTTTCATCTTTTGCCACTTAACTTTTTATTCTCATTTTAACCCCATAATGCTTTTACTACTTTCGCATCTTAGCACTTCCTCTCCACCGCCTTTGACTCCACCGCCTTTTATTCTCATTTTAACACCACAATACTTTTAACACCACAATACCGCCTTTTATTCTCATTTTAACACCACAATACTTTTAACACCACAATACTCCACCGCCTTTTATTCTCATATATCAAAGCAGTCATCACTAGAAAAAGTTTATTTCTTGCTTGAGAAATGGATTGATTCTTTGCAACGCCTAGAACCAACGACAGTGTTCGTTGTCTCCATTCGATTAACGCTTGGAGCCGCCCCTTCAATCGAACACAATCGCCACCGCCGTTCAGTTCACCGCGTCTCCTATTGGCCGTCGTCAGCCAACATCAAACCAGTTGAACCGTAGACGACACCGCCTCCGAATTTTCATCTTTTCTGCCTACCGAAGAACACCGAACTCCGTGTTGTGACTTCTCTGCTTCTTACTCGCCGAAACAGTCACCACAACCATCAGACCGTTTCTCGTCTTCCGATTGTCGACGACCATTGCCCAGGTTAGAGGAATCGTCCGCCTTCTACTCCATCCTTTTTTTTCTTTTTGTTTCTTATTTAAACGTTCTCATCATCAGCGCCCTTAGTGAATTGCTTGAACCCTAACACTCCCCCTTTCAACAGATTGTGTTATGCTTTTTTGGAATTTAATATATCTGGTATAAAATTCTTTTTGTATTTGTTTCTTTTGCAGGTTTCAAAGAATTGAAAGGGACGAGGAAGAGTTTTGTTTCAATATTAGGTTGGTTTAGTGAATTGAAAGACACAGTTTTAGGTTTCATTGAAATTTGATTGTTTATTTTGTTTAATTTTGTTAATGATATCTGTTGCATCTGCTTATTTTAGGGCTTGATTCACTACCCAACTAATCAGTTTCTAACTTAAACTTCCATCTTTGAAATATTTTCTTGCAGATTGGATTTTATGTGTTGCGTTAAATTTCGTTTGACTTTCATTTTGTGATTTTCCAATGGGATTGTACAAGACTACAAGGTTAATATTGACTTTGTGAATAACTTTTCATTTCTTCATAGTAAAATCTCATGGTTCTGCCTATATAATTTTTGCATTTGGAATGCAGAAACAAATTCCTTACAGTGGAGTCAACACTACACAGGGCATTGTAGATATTCCAAGCAGACAAACATCCAAGTCCAAGTGATATGGGTATTGGTAGAGCAAAAGAAGGGTAATTTTTTTATTTATAATGGTGTTGTTTATTTTTGTTGAAATCTTACATTTTTTTGGTGGATTGTACCAGACAAAAGTATAATCTTTTTTCATCATTTCATCTAACTTTTTGGTTATGCTGTCTTACACATAAGCGAATTAAAGCAAGCAAGAAACAAAAGGAAGCACACAGAGTGTTAGGATTAAACAAAAAAGTTATGATAATTATTTAAACAAATGTCTTAATTGACTTAGAAATGAAATGCAATCAGACGAAAAAAAAGTCTGCAAAAGGGTAAAATAGGTAAGTTGTTCTCATTATACTTTAAAATAGCTAACCAATTTTAGCAGTGGAAGTAGGATGCTATATATTTTAGTGAACATACATTGTTATTTTCTGTAGTTGGAGCAACAATCGTTGGTGGAGCAACAACCGTCGGTTGAATCTGTTGTTTTAGGTATGCATTTTCCCCATTTATTTCTAATATTCGTTATAAGGCTTCCTAGACTAATATCTTTTATTTTAACACAAGAAAGAGATAGAAAAATTTCACATTTGTCATTTATATGCAACTTATCTTTGTATATATTGTATATATGTTCATAATATTACTGTGCACCTGAACTTGTATTCGGGGCAACTGAATACACAGCCACAATTGATGTCTGTTCAGTCGGTTCTGTCCTTGCCTAACTCCTTCTACGACAGGTTCGGTTCTTTCTGTGCCTTTTTAACTAAATCAAAAATTAATTACAATTTAAGAAAGTCAATTGCATTTAAACATCAACCTTAATGTTAAAAAAAAAAATTAATCCATTAATGCCCATTTTACCCCTACTTCTATAAACGTTAACCGAATGTAGTTTTCATCTTTTTATCATAACTACATATAGTTTTCATGTTTACAGTTTAAGAAAGTCAATGCCCATTTTACCCCTATTTATAGAAAACAATCCTTTTGTGATTTTCAGATTTTGGTGTTCTTTTCAACCTGCAATGATGTCAGTTACCATCATGGGCTTTTT